TTTTCTTTTATGCACTTGAAATTTTCATGCTGGCTGTGGTGGCTCACAGCTGAGATCCCAGCTCTGGCAAACCAGACTGATGCAGGAGACAAGAGCAGCCTGGGCTACAAAATGGAACTGTCTCTACATGTACTACTACAAAATACACATCGGACCGAGATAGAGATGAGTGGCAGAGATGTACTGAGCATGCTCCAAGCCCTGGGTACCATCCCCAGCACCCCATAAATGAGGCATGGTGACTCAAACTTGTAACCTCAGTACTAGAGGTATGGCAGGAGAGGAGGATCAGGAATCACAGTCGCTCTGAGCTACCCGAGAACCCTGTCTCCAAACAAACAAATAAATAAACGAATATATTGATTAAATGAAAATTTTAAAACTCAGAAGTGGGTCTAGAGTGTGGCCCAAAGTAAGAGTGCCGCCCTAACATGTGTGAGGCCCGGGTTGACTCCTAGTAGCACACAATAAAACCAAAAGCAAGGAAGCTGGGCAGTGGCGGCACATGCCTTTAATTCCAGCACTCTGGAGGCTGAGGCAGGAAGATTTCTGTGAGTTGTATGCCAGCCCGGTCTACAAAGTGAGTTCCAGGACAGCCAGGGCTACACAGAGAAAACCTGTGTCCAAAAACAAAAACAAAAAAAGAAGGGAAAAAAAAAAAAAAAAAAAAAAAAAAAAAAAAACACTCAAATCCAAGGTACGGAAGCCAAAGAATGGAAATGTTCACTGGGGCTGGTTACACACCCTGTGGTCCCAATACTGAGAGAGGGGGCATGGCCATGAGCGCCACGCCAGTTTCTGGACTATGGAGTAGGTCCCTATCTCAACCAAACAGAAAGGACAAAAGTCTAGAGAGCAGCCACACCTGGGTGGGGGAGGTGGATTCTGGTGGTCTAGATTTTTCTTCACTTTCCAATGCTTCTACAAACAATTTTTTTTTCTTTTTTGCTTGAGTCAGGGTCTCACTCTAAACCCTGACTGGTCTGGAGCTCACGATGTAGGCCAGGCTGGCCTCAAACTCACAGAGACTTAAATGCCTCTGCCTACAGAGTATTGGAATTAAAAATATGTGCCACCCCACAGCTGTAAGATTTGTTTTGTCTTTTATGTGTGTGTATATGTAAGCGTGTGTGTGTGTGTGTGTGTGTGTGTGTGTGTGTGTGTGTGTGTGTGAGAGAGAGAGAGAGAGGGGGGGTCATGTAGAGGCCATAAAAGGATGACAGCCCCCTCAGAGCTGGGATGTCAGGAGGGTGTTGGGAACCGAACTTAGTTCTTCTGCAGGAGCAGCAAGCCGTCTTAACCACTGCGCCACTGCTACCTACAGCCCTTGTTTGCTGTGGAATTTGTTGTTGTTTGAGACAGGGTCTCTCACTGTCTTGCGGTTTGCAAGCCCCCAGGATCTATTCGCCTTGGCCTCTCCAGCAATAAGATTATATTTGTCCTATCGAGTAGTGTTTTTGTTTTTTGTTTTTTTTTTTTAAACAAAACAACAAAAGACAAAAAACAAATATGGGTTCTGGGGATCCAAATCAGGTCACTGTGCTTGTACAAGCCGAGTCATCTCTGCAGCATGGGGATGCATGCCAAACCAGAACACAGCTACTTGTAACAGTCCTGGCTCCTTGACTATGTTGGGTGAGTGGGAGGGACTCCAGGTCTTTTGGTCCATCCTGCCTACCTCTCTCAAGCCTGGGTGTGTGTCTGTGGAGAGGGGCTCTGCTGAGAAACACAGTCCTCACTTGATGCTAAACAGAGCATCCCATTCTGCCTCTTGCTCCAAAGAGTGTGCCAAGATTTATCATCAGGCTTACCAACCTCAGCAGACACAGAATGGTGATGTTAGCTAAGGACTCACATTATATTTAATTTCTGACAGTGCTTCCAGAGCCCAGGAGACTGTGGCACCGGCCCCTGGACACTGGGATTCCCCCACAACTCAACTCTTTGTCCACACCTAGATTTCACCAGCCCAAGCCCCCCTTTACCCCAGGGATCCCACTGAGCCTGCTGATTCTTTGCCCACAAAGCTGTATCTTCGCCATCATGTTATTTTGGTGGTTCTTGTTGCTCTAAGACTCACTCTTTAGCCCAGGATGCCCTCAAAGCTGAGGCGAAACCTCCCCACTCCTTTTCAGCTTCCTGAACGCTGGGCTTGTATGCGTGTGTTACCACACCTGAATATACTGAGTCAAAGAGCCTAGAGCTGACTGTGAATATCTACCACACACACAGAACCAGGCTGCACAATGATTCACAGCACTAAGGCCACGACACTAGCCAACTGCTCTGCCATCAAACCACATCCCAGCCTGTCACTGGGGGACTCTAGGCAGGGGTCTCTCATGGAGCCACTCCCCTAGCACAAAGGTCTGTCAGGACATGGAACACAGTTTGAGGAGGTTCGGGGTGCTGTGGCAGTGGGGCCACAGTTAGATTCAGGGCACAGGGAGACCACCACTCCAGTGAGCTGCCACCACCCTGTTCTGCTCCTTTCATTTTTTTATCTGAACACATATTTCCCATGTAGATACTTTCTCATTTGCTTATTGGGTCTCTTGCACATTTTCTGCATCAGTATTTTAAAATTACATTTATTTCTGGGCATGTTGGTGTACACCTTTAGTCCCAACACTCCAGAGTCAGAGGCAGTGAGTGAGCTCTGAGTGTTTGAGGGTAGCCTGGTCTACATAAGGAGGCCCTGTCTCTAAAATGTTACATTGACTTATACATTTATTTATTTTCTTGGGAGGAGGGGAGGCGTGTGGCAAGGTTTGGTGCCCTTGTGGAGGTCAGAGAACAAATGGTTGGGGGTCAGTTCTTTCTTTGTGTGAGTCTTGCTTGGGTCAGGCCGGGTGTTATCCACCTTTAGTTCCAGCATTTGGGAGGCAGATCTCTGGTCTCCATGACCAGGTCAAAATATGGTTTGGAGATCAAACTCAGACTTGGTGGCAAACAATTTTACCTGCAAAACTGTGCTGCAGGCCCTGAACAGGGAGCTTTGCAAGTGTGGTTTCCTGCTGTGTTCCCAGTGCCTATGAGATTAAGCACTAAGTGCCCACCAAATTCAATGACATACATGAACACATTCCAGCTCCATCTAAGTGAGTCCTGATGTAAGCTGGCTGCAGCAAGAGTGAATGCAGTTAGACATGAGGAAGGACTTCCGGGGTGGCAGTTTCCACAGGCAGTGAACATAGCTTTGTCTGTATGTCCAGCAAGCAGGAGGTCCCATGACTGCCCTGGGAGGCACGTTTGGAATGGAGGGTGCCTCTCCTCTCAAAGATTCCAAGACTGTGCTGGGCGGGCCCCTGGCTGGGTGCCAGAACCTCAGGGCTGGGTGTTTAGATGGACAGGGAACAGTGGGGTGGTTTCCATAGCTGGCCAGGAACAACGGGGAGGCAAGGACACACAGCTAAGCCCTCACCCTGTGGCCTGTGCTCATCAGGGCCAGCAGGGCTCCAGCTGCTTGATCTTGCATGTGGGGGTGAGGAGACCCTGGCACCGAGAATCCTTGCCCTAAGCCTCAGTTTCCCCAGCTATGAGTAGAGTTGAAGTGGGAAATGGATTAAATGCCCTGTGATCCCAACTACTGAGGGGGCTGAGGCAGGATTGAGAGTCCAGGGCTAAGCTTGGTGAGGTGTCCCACACCTGATACACAGACTCAGGAGGGGAGATGGAGGCAGAAAGAAAGGAAGGGAGAGAAAGGGAAGGGAGAGGAGAAGGGAAGTGCTCAAGGCTGGGACACATAGCCTGCAAGACTGTCTCAAGCTCCACACATCCCAAAAGGGAAGAAAACCCAACCAAGCAACCAGGCCACAAAGGCAACCTGATCACTGCCCGCAGAAGGAAGCAGCAAGTATGGCATGTGCACTTACTGTACACATTCATCCCAAGGATTCTAGTATTAGAGCACGTCACAGGGAGGAGAGTGGAGGCCCAGACAGGTGTGCCACTCTGCTGGGGGCACACAGTGACAGAACCCGGGGTGCCTCAGCCGCTGACCTATCTTTCTCAGCTCCCCTTGATGAGACACTTAGCGGAGCAGCTGGCACCCCTTGGCCCGTGCCAAGACGGAACAGCTGTGACTATTGCTATGAATCATCCTGGCAGCTCCTCCTGGACAGTCTGTATACAGCCCTTCCTGGCACGAGGACTCAGGACTTCCTCTGGTGTACCCTTTCCTCTTCCAAAGGCCACTGAGCTCAGGTAGGGTCTCCACCCTGAAAGCTCAGGGCTAGGCAGTGGGAGGTATACTGGTTGCTTCTACGTGGGGTTTTAATCTGGTATTATGTGAATGAAGGGGGTCCCTGGAGAGGGAACACTTTAGTTCAGACTCCTTTACCCACCTGAAGGTCCCATAGAACAGACATGAGTTAGAGATTCCACACAATTTCTGAGCACTGGATCCAGCCATGCCTGAAGTTGCCCTCTCAGAACCATGAACAATACTCTATCTAGGGCTGCACATGCCCAACAACATTCCTGCCATTTCGTAATTCAAAAGAGAGAATCTGCTATGAAGCCAATGATCTTGGGGAACCTCCTCCAAACAACTCATGTTTTCTGGACCATTTACACCTCAACATAAGGCAATATGCTAGATGTTTAATTTCTTTGTGCATCAACGTATGTGTGCATGTATATATGTGTGTGCATGCACATTTGTGTATATGTGTGTGTCTATATGTATGTTTAGACCAGAGGTAAACAGATGGTAGTGCTCCTCAGGTACTGTCTACCTTTAAAAAAAATGTATTACTGTAGTATTGGCACACACCTTTAATAACAGCGGTAGGGAGGCAGAGGCAGGTAGATCTCTGCCTTCAAGGCTAGCCTGAACTACAAGCAAGTTCCAGGACAGCTAAGTCTATTACACAAGGTTACACAGAGAAACCTTGTCTCAAAAAACAAACCAACAATACGCATGTATCACTTTTTATGTGGCCAGAGCACACATGTAGCAGCACACCTGTGGAGTACAGGGCACAGCCTGTGGGAACTGGCTCTGCCTTCCCACCGTGTGGACCCCAGGGAACTTAGGTCACCAAAGTATCACAGGCTGAACTCACAAAATAATCTAGTCCATGGCCCCCTGTATCTTCCTGCCTCTGTCTTCCCAGCAGTGGGTTACAAGTGGACATGACACACACGGCTTTTCTACATGGCTGGGGATCAGAACTGAGGTCCTCTTGTTTGTACAGCAAGCACTGGACCAATTGTGCCATCTCCCAGGCTCCTAGATACCAGATTCCTCTGCCTGACACCCACAGCCCTGAGCCCACTGTGAAGTTCCTCCCAGGGTGGAAGGAAGGTTAGCTGGGAAGGCCCTAGTGGGTCTCCCCTGAATACTCACTCACCTGAAGTCCTGGCCACACCAATGCCGCTCCGTTCTGTAATACTGATCTTCTTGGCTGTGTGCATGTTGCTGGTAGTGGCTGTAGGCAGGGGACACATGGTCTCCACCACCTCATGGGTGCGGAACACGAGGGTGTCTTCTGTCCCCCTAGATGTTGACAGGGCCTTCATCCCTGCTCCATAGGGTTCCAAACTCTGGGCTCGCTGTGCAGGGGCCCCTGCTGCCGTGCTGGCTGCCACCTCCACTTCCCGAGGGCCTTCCACCACTCGCACGGTGTCCACACGGACCTGGGTGTCTGGTGGTGGCTGGAGTTCGGCCTGCTGGGTCTGAGCCGCCCGCAGCTCCTGCAGTGCTTTTTTGAGCTGGGTCTCCAACACGGCCACTTTAGCCACTAGGGCAGCTTCACCATCTGGAATGCCCAAGTCCCGTTCTCGGACCCAGGTGCCCACAGAGCGGGTCTCTAGCACAGCAGAGTCCTCAAGGGGTTCTGGAAGGTCCAGACAGAGTTCACCCCGGCCTCGTGTTCCTGAGGAGTGGCCTAGAAACTTCTGGCTCTTGAGTTGCACAGTGAGCTGTCTCTTCTCCTCCTGGAGCACCGACAGCTTGACCTGGAGCACAGGGATCAGCTTGACCTGCTCTTCCAGCTGGCGCAGCTTGCGCAGGGCCGCAGCCATCTGCTCGCGCACGTGGGCCAGGTGACCTGCGCTGGGTGGCACCGGGGTGGACAGGCCCGAACTGCGAGGTGTGGGTGGTAGCAGACCCACACCTGCCAGGGAGCTGGTGGAGCCTGCAGCGCTGGGCGTCAGGGAGCCCAGGCCACCCGATGGGGCGGCTGCCTGGTCCTCCAGCCGGCGCCGCGCGTCCAGCAGAGTGCGTTCCACACGTGGGTTGGAGCCACTGCGGGTCTCCAGGGGCCCGTACTGTGGGTAGAAGCCACGGCCACAGTAGGAGTAGGCCGAGTGCCGGCTGTCCCCACTGGCATCAGAGCACAGCGACTCTGTGGACGTCCACCAGGAGCCCGGGCCCCGCGGCAGGGAGCCCAGGCGTGGGCGCCGCTGCACCGCCACCCTACGCAGTGTGTGGCCCTTCTCAATGTCATCTACGTACTTAAGAAAGTCCAGGTCCAGGCGGTAGCCGTAGGGCGTCTCCACAGAGTATGGTGGCTCTGGCTCTTTGTTGGGGAAGGTTGCTGGGGAGGCCTGGCCAGGAGTCCCTGGAGTGAGGAAAGCCAAGGCCTTAAAGTACTTCCGGGCCCCTTGTGCCCAGCTGACCGCCCAGGGACACGACACGGACAGCTTCGCTAGAGCTGGGAGTCCACTCTAGATGAACCGGGGCTGGTCTGGCCCTGTCACCCAAGTGTGCCAAGGATAGGGCTGTTCTCCCTGACTGCCTCACATAACTGCTCCCCCATCCCTTCAGGCCCACACAGTCAGAGCTATTCCTCTACCTTGGGCCCTCACCTTAGGGCTGACCTCCCCCCCTCCCCCCCTGCCCCTGACCTGGGAACGGTGCAGACACATGCAGGACCTGGGCCATCTTCTCTCTGCTGCTGTTCCTCAGGTATCACCCAGCCTGCAGGTATTCTCGGGTATCACACTGCCTGCAGCACTCGCTGAGGCTGATCTGCAGAGATTGACAGAGCAGTCTCAGGAGCAGTCTTCAGGGGGAAGGGAGAGGATGTGGCACCCTCCCTCCACAAATGGCCTCAGGAAGGTCAGGCACTTCTCATATACTTACACACTCAGGCTCCCCTCCCTACCCTCGCCTGGCTGTAGAAAGTCCTTGAACAAAGAAACCAAACTTCCCTGGCTGTGTGCACATCTGTCCAGCCCTGGACAGACTCCAGCTGTTCCCATAGCCTCCACATGGCCCCCAGGGCAGGGGCTCCACCCTTCCTATGCCCCCCTTCCCTTGGCCCATCTTGGAGTGTGCATAGGAGAGCTAGGAAAGGGTAGGTAGAGGGCTGGATGCTAACAGTGCAAAAGTGGGGTCTCAGAGGTGGGCAAGAGACAGGACATGGAGGGTGGGACCCCTCAGCAACCCCAGAGCTGAGAGCTAGGCCAGGCCCTCGGAGAGCGGGAAAGTGCTGAGGACACAAGCTGTGAGAAGCCTTCCTCTTTATGGAAACAATTTTCTCTAAAAATAAACAGTCTCTCTGCCCAGCTACATAGAACTTCCTGCCCCCTCAGGATATATCCGGGTTGGGAGAGTAGGGGATCAGTAGGGATAGAGTGGGGTGGAGGCCAGGAAGTCATAGAGGAGGGGAGGAAGCAGGGGGGGGGCACAGCCTGCAGAGAGCTCTTGCTAGACCCACTTCAGCCTGGAGTTAGTCAGGCTCTGTATTCTCCAGGGTGGACCATGCTGCGGTGTGAATGCCAGGGCAGTGGGCAGCTGGGAGGTCAGGGCAGGTAGGACACATGCTGGGCATGAAGGCCACCTGTGATGCTCTCTCCCTCTGTTTAGTTCCCCTCCATGTCTCTGCCCTTCAGTCTGTGTCTCTCCACGTCTCTGCCCTTGCTTTGCTGGCTTGAACACCTGGAATGCAGTGACCAATTGTAGGGAAAACTAGCTCTGCATCTGCCTGGAGTCTCGGGGCCTCCAGAAATAGGAAGCTGGTTCAAAATATTTCCTGGGGACCTGAGAGAGACACAGAGGTAGGCAGCAGTATTGGGATAGCCTGAGGTATGGGTGCTGAGATGGAATGAATAAAATTAATAATTATAACACCGCTTGTGTCTTGTTTTGACTGGCCTCAAACCCACTATGTGGCTGGGGATGACCTTAAAACTTTGTCCCTCCTGTCTCTATCGCCAAATGCTGGAAACTAGTGGTTGTATTGCCACACCCAGTTACACGGTTCTGGGGATGGAACACCAGACTTCATACATGCTGGGCATGTGTTCTACATCCCCAACCCTGCTTATGTTTTTAAGAAAAGAGCTTGTGCAGTGGTGGTGCACGCCTTTAATACCAGCATTCAGGAGGCAGAGGCAGGTGGAACTCTGTGAGTTCGAGACCAGCTTGGTCTACAATGAGAGTTCCAGGACAACCAGGGCTGTTACACAGCGAAACCTGGTCTTGAAAAACAAAACAAAACAAACAATAAAAAACCAATAACAAAAACAAAACGGAAGGAAGGAAGGAAGGAAAGAAGGCAGGCTCGATATACAGCCTAGGCCAGCCTAGAACTCACCACTCCAGCCTCAGCCTCACAAGTGCTGGGATTGCAGGCATCCTCCAGGACTCCAGGTTATAACAAAGACTCTCAGTTGCCATGACAACCCCAGGAGGTAAACCCTGACCCAAATTCACCACAGAGTGTGAATCTTGCGCAGGGTCACTTGGGCAAGATGTGGTGGTGGGCTGGTGGGCGTGGCAAATTCGCCCAAGGCACCCCTAGACTGCACTCGTCTCATTTCCGAGAAGTGGCGATTGAGAGACTGAGGTCTAAGGGTCTCCAGTCACCTCACCACAGGCGGGTAACTCGGTGGCGGGAAGGCCCTCTCTCCCTACAAGTTCCCTGGATAGGGGTCCGGCGAAAGGAGGATAGAAGCAGCAACAGGTGGGAGTTTTCAGAGAAGGGCCACAGGGTCTCCCCAGAGTGTAACCTCCCCATCAGCTTGGGCGGTTCTGGGGGGTTTTCCTGCTTCGCTCTCTCCGCCCCCAAAGTTGGGGGTGAGGAGGACCCCGCCCCGAGCGGGAGCGGGCGGGGCCTGCGGGGTCCCCGTCTAATGGCAAACATCTGCTGATCCTCCCAACCTCCCCCCTCCTCGCCGCACACGCGCCCAGCAGCCGGGCCCAGCCCGGCCGGACGCCCGGATGCCTTCCCGCCGCTGAGGGGCCGGGCCCGGCCACCCGGAGCTCCGAAAGACAGATCCGGACAGGGAAAGGGACAGAGCTAGACGAGAGGGGCGGAGCAGAAGGAGGGAGGCAGGGAATGACACAGGTATGGAGGTGGGTTGTGGCAAGAGAAGCAGGGCCCAGGTCAGGGCTGGGGAGGGCACTGGAGCGCGGGGATCAAGACGCTCGGGTTTGCAAAGTTTGGGAGAAGATGGTAAGAATTGGGAGGGACCAGCTCAGAAAGGAGTGCGCTTGTAGCCTTGGGTGGAAGTGGGTTAGAAACCCCAACAGCCCCCCTAGAGTAGCCAGAACCCCACGCCACCCCAACCAGCCCTGGGTCCCACTCGCCTGGCGCGCTCCAGCCTTCGCTGTCCCAGGCGTCCTGCGCGCTCCGTCTCAGCCGCCGCTATCCAGCCGAGCCAGCGCGGTAGCCACGCCCCCGCCACAAACCCCGCCCCTCCAGCCTCCCGGGCGCCTCTGCAGCAGGGGCTGGGGGCGAAGTTGAAGGGTGGTCGTCGGGGTGCACACGCTCTCTCTTCGGTCTGTGCACGTCCTAGGGGCTCAGTCGGCCCCTGGCCACCAGCCCACGGGACAGGGTCCCCCACCCTTCTCCAAGCCTGGTGCCCGCCCTTTGCAGCTGGGCGCTGCAGGGGGCGGAGCTGGCCGCGGCCCAGCTCTAGGGCGGGTGCGGTGACGGGGACTGGAGGTCACCCCTCCCCCGTTGGCCGCCGGCGGCTGGAAGCCATCCAGCTGCTAGCCGGGTGTACCGTGGCGTGACCGCCATCCCAAGCTCAGAAATTGCGCTGATGAGTAGCCAAATCGCCCTCCCCCGCCCCCATTTATCCCTTCCCGAGTTAGGCCTCAGTTTCCCCATCCATAAAATGGGGTCAATCACGTGACCTGCCTGATAAGTGTGTTCAGAAAATTCCCTTCACACTACTCACAGGCTTTATTGATTTTGTGGGGTTGGGGACAGACCCCAGAACTCCTGAATGCTAGTTAATCACCATGCCACTAAGTTGCACCCCCAGCCCAGAGATGAAATACTTGAGTTTGCACAAAACATTCTAAAGCCACTCTGGCTATGGTAGTGCACACCTGTAGTCCCAGCACACTACAGTGATTCTGGGCTATGTGAGACCGATTCAAAAAACAAACAACAAGAAGAAGGAAGGAAGGAAAAGAAAAGGAAGGAAGGAAGGAAGGAAGGGAATGAGAGGAACTCCTGCAAGCCACTTGACCTGGGACTTCATGAATGTTCCACTGGAGCTGTCACGATGTCTCAGTGGGTAAAGTATTTGCCTATGAAAGCACCAGGACCTGACTTCAAATCCCAGCAGCCATGTAAAAGTTGGGCACAAACGTTTATCTGTAAGCCCAATTCTGGGAGCTCGGCAGATCTCTGGGGCTTACTGGCCAGTGACCCTAGCTGGATCTGTGAACTCCAGGTTCAGAGAGACACCTGTCTTAAAAAGTAAGTGGAGGACCAAGGAGAGACTCATCAGGTAAAGCTGCAGGCTGCCGAGCCTGATGGTGGAAGGGGGAACTGAATCCTGCAAGTTGTCCTCTGACCTTCATATGTGTGCCAGGGCACGATGCACCCACACACATACAGACATAGTCCTTTATCCCAGCACTCAGGAGGAAGAGGCAGGTGGATCTTTTTGAGTTCAAGGCCAGCCTGAGCTACACAGTAAATACAAACAAAACAAAATGTGGAGAGACTGAGGAATATACATATATCACACATATGTACATGCAAACCCCCATTACATGCACATACACGAACACACACACACACACACACACAGAGCACTCTTTCCCATGGACATGTTTCATTGTGTGTTCTCTTCTTCAACTGAAGGACAGCTCCCCAGAGCAGAAACTGTGTCAATTGTCACCACACCACACAGGTTGCATATAAAACTCATTTTAAATTAAAACAAACAAAACTTAGGATACATCAGTGCAGACAGAGGGATGGAGGGCCCAGTCCCAAAGATATTGTGGTCACCCATGGATGAGAGGCAGGAGTGACTCCAGGAAGGCACAGACGGCTGAGGTGTGGTGCTGGTCTTTTGGTGTGGCTTTCAGTCCTGTGGGGTCAGAGTTCAGCCTTCCGGAAACTAGATCTGCTTAGGGAGTTCCTGGGGGCAGAAAGCAGGTTAGCCACAGGGTCCCCAGCTCCACAGTTCTCCCCACCATCCTCACCTGCCATCATGCAACCCTTCCAAGAATGTTCAGACTCTGTCCCGTCTACCCTGATCCAGTCAAAGGATTTCCCCTTTACTATAAATCACATTTACTTCTGTGTTATGTGTGCATGGCTGAAATAACCTGTAGCTAATTAGCTATGTGCTCTCCCAGATCAGAAGATTCACAGTGTTTGAATCCACTGAGGAGGCTCAGACAGCTAAATGAAGGCTGGGGATATGATTCCGTGGTAGAGCGCTAACTTAGCATGTGAAGTCCTAAGATTCAGTCTCCACGATAGAAGAGTCTGAGAGTATGAAAGATGGTTCAGTGGGTCAAGGCACTTACCACCAAGCCTGCTGACCCAAGTTCAATCCCTGGCAGCCACACAGTAGCTGAGGACTGCTGTAATTTGTCCTCTAACCTCACAGTTGTACTGTGACATATATGCCCTTCCCATCCACTAAATCAAATGTAATAACAGAAAAACAGAATAGAAGAAGTCACACAACCCACTGGACATGGACTGTGCTGTGCATATGTACATTCATGTTCATGTTTGTGACAGCCCCCACAGGCACCTGAGGCTGCTGGAGCTTGGTACCAG